CTAGAGCAGCCTGTATGAAGGGATCTCTCCTTTGATTGTACTCTGCTTGCTGTAACACCCAAGGATGCAGAGTCAGGTTGATCCCACCTAGAATCTGCACATAAGTTCTGGCCTCTGCCTGGGATTTCCAAGACAGGGCCAGACTTTGAATTGAGAATGTACTGAAAACCAACAGAAGGCATTTTCTGTATTATGAGATGTCAGTGTAGAAATCTTAAATCCCCCATTTGAGAGTATGGCTCTTTAAGCTTTTCAGTCTTGTTCAGTGACCTGCTACAGTCTGTGAGAGGCTCTAGGTGTAAGTAGAATCTGATGACAGAATCTGTAAGTGTAAACAAGCATCTTAAGAGTGAGAGATCAAGGCCACAAAGGATCCAGAGGCTTAGTATTCTTGTCCATCTTCTTACCCAAAAGCTAGCAAATCAGGATAGGGGATCCAGGTTCTGGAGCTCCAGCAAGGCAGTTCCATTGTCTATTTAGAATCAACCCGAGTTTCTCCAGCCTGGCTTATCACTGGGCCATCAGCCCTGGGTCACTGGGAACCCTCTCCTAATCATCTGGGTGTCCTTAAGACATTTGAGGATGTCAAGGGTAGAATTATATCAGGTTAACAAGAATGATTAATTCTGTTTCTGTCTTGTTGTAAGAGAAAGGAGATATCCTGTGTTTTTTTCTCCCTCATAACAACCAAGAGATAACATCGGTTGTTACCCAGATGAGAGTTTCTCAAGTTTTCTGGTACTGGGGTGAAAGAAAAAGAGGAGATCTGGTGACCCAAACAAACTAATTGCTTCCGTTTCATACGATCATTCAAAAAAATAGATGAAGCGGTCAAGGTCCCTGCCATCCAGGAAATTTTAGTCTAGACCAGCAACTGGATACAAGTTTGAATTAAGCATTAGGTGGTTGGTACAATGAATAGATGTGTGCAAAAACAACTTGGTCCGCTTCTTTTTAATATTGTTGTGACTTCTGAAGTTATCACCTGAAGGTATATTTATGCACTGAAGAGTTGTTACTATTATTTGTGTTTCTTTTACTTTTCTAAGAATACATATTTATCTTCTAATAAAATTATCCTAGAAAACTTTAAAATTTAAACATTTAAATTGCTTATTAGTATATGTTATAAAATTGACAGCAGTGACAAAAATAGATTGTGTTACATAACTCTGGGATTTAAGGTTTTTTTTTTTCTTTTTTCTTTTTTTCTTTTTTAGACAGAGTTTTGCTCTTGTTGCCCAGGCTGGAGTGCAGTGGCACGATCTCGGCTCACCTCAACCTCCACCTCCCGGGTTCAAGCGATTCTCCTGCCTCAGCCTCCCAAGTAGCTGGGATTACAGGAGTACACCACCACCCCAGCTAATTTTGTATTTTTAGTAGAGACGGAGTTTCTCCATGTTGGTCAGGCTGGTCTTGAACTCCCGACCTCAGGCGATCCACCCACCTCGACCTCCCAAAATGCTGGGATTACAGGTATGAGCCACCGTGCCAGGCCAGGATTTAAGTTTTCCTTAGGTAAGTTAGGAAAAACAAAACTGGAAATACCCTAGTGATGTAGAAAACAAGTTCTACCTAGTTTCTTTTCCCTGCCCCAGTTCTGATCAGATTCACCATTTTTGGAGGCCTTATTTAGGCCTGGCTCCACTCTGGAGTCTTTCCTTACAAAATGGATTTATAAAGATTCAAGTTTTCGGGGGTAAATCCTACTGACTTTCTAGAGCTGGTGCTCACAATATCCTGAAACCCAAAAACAGATACATAAGAAAAATAAACTATACATTTTAAGATCTTAATTTTTTAATTTTGTAGTAAAACCAGTACTTACAGAAACATTCCATTTAGCAACTTTTCTATTCCTGCAGATCCAGTAGGTGCTCTACAAGTCATGAACAAGTAAATATAAACACAAAAAAATTTCTCTAAACTACATTAAGCTCTTTCTATGTGTTTCTTTATATATCTTCATCTGTGTATATTTAGCTTTTAGTTATCTATATATCTTCATCTGTCTGTATATAGCTTTTAGTGCATATGTTTTTAAGAGAATCAATGACAGAGAAACAGAGAAGAAAATAATAATTCTGGGTCCTTTATCTAAATCCTGAGAATTATTGAACACTTACTATGAACTTTCAAGGTGTTATTAGGACATAATAACAAATAATAACACATAATGTGTTATTCCCAGCACTGTGCTCTCTAACGTACTATTGAGCACATAGTACCTGCTTAATAAACATTGCATTAGTTCATGTGTACTTGTTGTTTTTTAAATGCAGACTTATTCAGACATTGTTACCTTCTCTGTCCTCTGTAAACTTTAGAGAGCCATCAAAGAATATGAAACTTTACATTTTTTATCTTTCTTTGTGTATCAGAAATATTGTATTGTGACAAGAGTGTGGAGTGTAAGGGACACTGTGCTGTGCCTGTTTTCTCTAATGCTAATAATGAGCCCAGGGGGAGCAACATCAGCATTGACAGGGGACTTGTTTGAAACACCCATCCATGGACCCTTTTCAAACCTACAGAATCACATTACATAAAGTGGGACTGACATTACCAAGTGATTTTTGAGTTCATTAAAGCTTGAGAGGCAATGCTTAGCTAAGTGGTTATCAGCCCAGGCTTCTCATTAGCATTACATGGCCAATTTGCAGCAATCTCTTTACTTGTACCCTTTCCACAGATTCTGTGTATTGTTCTAGGTGAAAGTATTTGTGTTGTTTTAATTGTTTCTCATGTGACTCTAAGGCGAGACCAGAATCAAGTGTGTGGGGTTCAAGATACATTCATGAGAGTTAAGTACCACCTTTGCACTAAAAGGTAGTCACAGGTACTGTTCTGTTTGGTTTTGATAGGGAGAGGTCAATGTCACCCATATTTCCATTACTGTAGCAGAAATTGCTGGTGTTTGTGGCAAAGGCAGGCACCTGAAGACAGAAATAGAGAAACATATTTTTATATTCATCAAGCAGTTCATTGTTCCTGAATCTCTGCTGCTATAAAGGACAGAAATGGGTGGGCTTTTTCTACAGGTCTTATTTATTTTTTCTGTGGGTGTGAGGCTTGCAGGTAAACAGGTGGTGCTGACACCTTTAAAGGAATTTTTTCAAGATGCAGGCGTAACTTCTCCAGAGAATGTCATCTGAAAAGCATTTCCAAAGAAGATGAAAGAGGAAAAATGGCTTTTTTTTTTCACTCAGCTAAACATGTCTCAGATGAAGAGCTGTGTCCACTCTGCCTCCTGGAGTGCGATGCATTTAGTCCTTGCAAACCTTTACTTCTCTGCTTGTGTTTCTTTCCCCTAATGAGTTTAACTACTTTAAAAAATTCTTGTGATAGTCAAGGGTCTCTGCAAAATATTTCTCTCCTATATCCC